AATTAAAAATATTAAAAGATATTAGGATTAAAGTAGTTAAAATATTTTATATTATTAGCATTAAGGATATACATTTAATAAAAAATTAAATGTTGGTCGAAATAAAAATATCATACATAAATGAAATCATGAATTTTATTTAAATAGAATATATATATATATATATATATAATAATTCAAATAAAATAAATATTTATTTGTAACAAATGTTTTAAAATTATTTGTAGAATGTATTTTGAAATTAATCAATTTCATTTTTTATTATGAGTGTATATGTTTAAAAATATTTAATTTTAATATTCATTTATAAACCAAAACTAAATACAATTTTTATTTCTAATTATATTTTATGATAATTTAATGTAAAATTAACTAATTTCGAAAAACAAAATTTTAAAAAAATTCTAAAGAGATTTTTAAAAGGTTTTGTTAGAATATTTTAAACATATGGGTTTCTAAAAATATAAAGATATTAAAAATATATAATAATAAATTTATGTAAAATTTGATATTTTCTAGTATTAAATATAAATTTTAAAAAATTACACATAAAGTGAAATCATGATTTCTGATTTAATATATAAGATGGAGTACGTAAATATTACGAATTAATATCATACATATTCGCTGACATATTAATAGGGACTTTAAAACAATTATGTTGAGTAAGTGGAGCGAGTCAGAATAAGTCGGCAAATGATGTCATCTTCCTTGCGAATAACTAAGCGTTGCTGTACATATTTAACTAATGAGATGTATGAGTCTATTAATTTTATTTTTCAATTTCATATACTAGTCTATAGTCATCCATGATATAAAACAAAACTGAGGGTATGGCTTACGCACTACGCACACACTAGTTGATTGATCGTGAGATTGATTGCTTTTTTTTATTAATAAACTATAGTTCTTATAGGCAAAGATGTAGGATGTCCAGCATATGGTTATGCATGTGTAAATTACAATCAAGAGTTGCTTGTTATTAAAAATACATTAAAATACATGTATAAACATCGTGCTACACAAGTTTAAATATGAATAAAGGAAGCGTACGTCTTAACTGAAATGTAAGTTAATCAATTCAGGAAAGCTATCAGCATACCTTTTCTGCCAAAAGATTGACTCGAACAAATGCACAAAAGAGATCCATGAATGCGTGCAGTATAAGTGAGTTCTGATGAGGCTGCAAAACACTGAACTAGGTTAAGAGCTAATCATGAATAGTCAAGTATTATATCCTCATCCCCACAAACAAAATTTTGACAAGTAGAAATATAACTTAACAAGCCGAAGTTTTTATACACCACCCAAGGTATGTGTTTAAAAAAGAACGCAAAATTTCAACCAAAAGCAAGTAAATACTTTCTGCAGATAAGAGTATCCACATCAATGAACCCCCTTTTGGGGTTCACTGAATCAATTTTTTATTATTAAAATTTTTCTGTTTTCTTTTTGATTTCCTAGATCAATCCCGAGCTGACACGTGTTGAACCTCAGGAGAGAGGGGTTCATCCGAGAGAACTTTAGGAGAGAGGGATTCATAAATTTTTTATTATTTTATTATTTTTTTATTTGGTTTCCGTGTGAACCTCCATTTGAACTTTCAATGGGGGTGCTCTAAGGGACGTTGACTCACCAGCAAGGTAATTACAGTGCTGCTTAGGTCTAATATAAGCCGTAGTGCCTGTTCTCGAAATTATTAACCACTTTTGGTCTCATCATCACCATCTTGTTGATGCCACACGTAATATTAGAGTTTTCCAAAAGGCTGTTAAAATGAATTTTTTAGTTTCTCCATCAACTAGCATCAACATACTCAAGATATTTTAGCTGCTCCATCAAAAATTTCATAATTAATGAAAAGAATTAGGTGGGGGATATATCATATATAGAGTGGACGGATTTTGAGTGTGCAATACAATATTCAGTATATCCCATGAAAAGCCCAACAAGTGCAGTTCATCTAAATGATATTCAAGAAAAAAAAGTACATAAAAAATAACTCAAATAGCCTATTCTTGTATAATAGGCCACCGAGAGCAGATATTGATTTGAAGCCCAAAATGTATACTACAAATCATGAAAACACGGAGGTAGATCATGTCTATTGATCGTAAAAGACAAAACAATTGGCAAAAAAATCAACACAGAGGACAAAGCAATTTAACACACAAACACAGAGCATGTTTCCAAAAAAAAATGAAAAAGAATGATAATGATTGATAAATGGCTAACAATCTTTCTTGCTCTTTCTTTATTTTTGGGACAATCTTACTCAGTTTTTTTACTACTACTTTTTAGAGAAGCAAACTTCGTTTTTTCTTGGAGTTTTATGTTTTGGATCGTTTACAACACACAATTATCTTTCTCTGAACTTATTTATATATGGTCCCCAAACTTTCTTGGCCCTTTTCGAAACTGTACACCAATAAATACAAAAGGAATGCTGTCTTTAGAGTACTAATTTGTACAACCATCATTAAAACATGTAGGAGAAAACAAATACAACGAATATGTAAACGTGTATTCATATCCATTCAGTGAAACATATAGAGATCTCTTTTTGGCCTCTTTTGAGATTAAAGATTGAAGATAGGACGACTCTCTCGTTAGAATAAAAAGAGACGATAGGTCCTACGTGCGTGTAGATGACAAAAGCCCATTTATTAGGTTGTAATTCTCTGTTTATTGATACAAAAGGCCCAAATTATAAGGTCAGCCTCCTCGAAACGTGTGAAACAAAAACATTTGCTTAATTAAACATCGCGCTCTTTTCAGGAAACTATCTATACTATTATTTGATAAGTAAATTTGCTTATTTGTCATGTTTTCCATAATTTTATGTATTTTTTATTTATTTTTTATGTTTTTGTGATTTCGACTAATGGTTAATTATTACCATTAATGAATAATTAGATTTATTAATATATAGTTAACCATAAATTAAAAACAAATTAATATATAATTATTCTTAAAACGAATTTTTCTTATTATAAAAATGAATTTAATATTAATAATATTAGTAAATATTTCGTATGAGCTAATTGATTATAAATAAATTTACTTATTTGTTATTTTCTCCATCATTTAAAACGAATTTCATATTAATAACATTAGATTATGTTTTATACTATCTAATTGATTATAACTTAATATGAAAAAATTGTGAAAATAAATATATATTCTTTTTTATAAAAGAGAGATATTTACTTATATATATATATATATATATTTGTTGTTGCCTGTAAATAATATCTTCTATTATAAAATATTAAGATACAAAACAATTTTTAACCAAAATTTGCTTATGTGTCATGTTCTCCATGATTTTAGATATAAAATAGTCAAAATAAAAACATGTTCCTTTTTTTTTTAAAGAGAGCTAATTATGTATATACATATATATATATATATATATATATATATATATATATATATATATATATATTATTGTTTCCTGGAAATAATATTTTCTATAATAAAAAATTAAGATATAAAAAATTTATAGCTAAATTTTATTTATGTGTCATGTTTGCCATGATTTTAGATATTTGTTACTTATTATATAATTAAAATGAATTTTATATTAATAATATTAGATTGTATGTTATATTACCTATTTGATAATAAATGAATATGATAAAACTGTCAAAATAAAAACATATTGTGTTTTTTCTAAAGAAGATAATACTTACATAATTTTTGTTGTTATCTAAAATTAATATTTTCTATTGTAAAAGATTAACTAAAATATTTCTAATATGTGAGTGCTTTTAAAAGCTTATCACAATAATAAACGTATATATTTTGATGAAAAAAATTATCGCATAAAAATATTTTGATGTTTGATTTAAAGATTTTTTTAAAAACATAAATAACACTGGTTTTTTTCTTTAGTAAAATATAAATTAATAATTATTTGTAAGAAAGTTATGCCCGCATGTGCGGGCAAAACACCTAGTAATAGTAGTAACTAGAATTTGATCCGTATACGTGTTTAGTTTAATTTATGTTCAATATAAATTTAATCATTAGTTTTATAAAGAAAATTATGTATTTTTTTTTGTTTTCTGATTTATATAGAATAAAATATACTATTTTATAATATAAATATTTAATAATATTTTTTTATTTATACCTAATATTATATTATAAATTTTATAATTTGATGCAGTTTGATGTAATTGTATTATTTATATATTACTGTTTTTTGTTAATTTATTTTAAAATGAAATAACATACTAGAATTATCATTAATTTTATGATATTTTGTTTTTTGAAAATTGAACTCTCGAAATTTTATATTTGACTAAATTAAATAAAGTAATTTATATTTAAAATTATTATATATAATATAAACTATTTATTTCAGTTTGTGTTTTTATTTCACCATGAAAAAAAAGAAAAAACATTGTAATTATTTAATTTAAATTGATTTTAAATACAATAACATACTCTACAAATAGAAAAATATAAATATAAAATATTTAATTTATAATAAATGTAATGGTTAAATATGAAAAAAAAATTAATCTGTTATACATATTTCCAAACAATTATTATTTATCATGTTATTTTTATTTTCAAACATTAACAAAAAATATTTAAGTTTTAATAATATAGCAACAAATGGTACTAGAAATTAAGACCACCACTTTTTTATATTAATTTATTTTCTCCAGATGAAAATTCGTAATATTTTTGTTACAATGACCAGATTTACTACTAGATGTAGAAGACTAATAAGGATAGTACATCAGCTATATATATAAAAATAAACAAAAGTTGTCAGTGTCAAATGTCAAGGTAATTAGGCGAACATAATCTAACACAGAATCAAGAAAAAAGGAGAGAGAGAAACTCATTCTCACCTATACCTTTTATAACTTGCACGTTTTGTGGATCCCACACGTACTCACTCTCACTAGTCACCCCCATTATATAATCTCCACCCTTGATTCCCTCATTTTTGCATCTCATTCGACACCAAAAAAGAAGTCTAGTTCTGTGTTCCTTCTAAACCACAGGGATAATATAAGATAAGATGGGTAATTATCGGTTTAAGCTAACGGAGTTAATCCCTAACGCATGGTTTTACAAACTGAGAGACATGGGGAGATCAAGAAAGAACAGCACGGCGTCTCCTTCTCCCATCAAGAAACACCAAACAGTTGTTCCTACTCCGACCACTGCACGCAGTCCTAGGCGACGCTCTTCTTCTTATTATTCAAGGCCTCGCAAAACAACGCCGCCGCCCGGTAAGTCTGCCGCCGACCGGCTACCTCACCGTGCCACCACCGTCTCCTCTGCTCCCAAGCCGGTCATTTCCGATTTGTCATCGACTTCCAGTGATAGTAGCACTGCCACCGGAACGGTGTCTTTCTCACCGGAGTTTCGCTCTGACCAACTACTCTTACCTGAGAGCTCCTCCCACAGCCCTTGCAGCTGCGTAAGCTCCAAAGTTCCGCCTCCGGAGCTCGATCTCCGGCCGATCATCACCAAGCCGGCGAATAAACCCACCACCGTGCGGAAAACGGCGGTGAGCTCTCCCCGGGGTGTGAGAGTTAGACTGCGCTCGCCGAGGATCTCGACGAGTAAATCGGCGGTGAGTTCGCGACGGAGCAGGGCGGTGGTGAAGGCGACGGTGGACCCGAGGAGAGATTTTAAGGAATCAATGGAGGAGATGATCGCGGAGAACAAGATAAGAGAGTCAAAGGATCTAGAGGAACTTCTAGCTTGCTATCTCTGTCTCAATTCTGACGAGTATCATCACATTATCATCAATGTCTTCAAGCAAATCTGGCTTGACCTTAATCTTTCATCCCACGAATAAAAACAAAAAAATCAAATAATTATATATATACCTATATTAATTAGTCCTTAGTATTATATAATCTGTAAGGATATATTTTATTATATGCATGGTTATCAATATAGCATTATTGCTAGAGCTTTTCACTACAAGAAAACTAAGCCATTACTAGAAAAATTTACTAGGAAAACATTTTCTCGTAAAAATACTACTAGTTTACTTCGACTTTACGAGGAAACATCTTTTCCTCGTAAGGTTCTCGTAAACTTACGAGAAAAGCGTTTCCTCGTAAAGTGGAAGTAAATTTACGAGGCTCTTACGAGGAAAATATTATTTTCCTCGTAAAGGCATAGTAGGACGTTTCCTCGTAAAGTTCTAGTAATACTTTACTACGA